TTAAATATATTATTAAAGATAAAGATATTTTTAAACTGTATAAAAAAAAATAAATGTACTTTTGAAATAATTTAAAAGTGGAAAGGTATTTGATATAAAATAATCATAGTTTTAAATTTTTTTGAGGTGTTAAAAAAAGAAAAAAAGTTTACTAATATTTTTATTAATTTAACCAATAATTTGGAGATGTGAACAAATAATGGTGCAAAAGGAAAACGCACTTGGAATGGCATAATAGCGCGGGATGAATCAAGCATTCATGATACACGAATTCATCGGCTTCAGCGCTCTGCATCTTCCCGTCGATCATCAAAGCCTACACTCACAAATCTTAATCAGATCATCTGATACAGTTACAACGAGGAAAGAAAAAACGAATCCGATTGAAAATTTTCACGAATCGCAGAAAATCGCCGAACAGAAACGGAAATCGAAACTTGATAAACGCACTTTTCCGAAACACTTGGTATCTAATAGCGCAATATCCTGAAACTCGCTGGTTCCTTTCTGCAGAACGCTGAAGAGAAGAAACGGATTTACAAATGAATCGGCGATGGAATTAGAACGGAGAAATACGAAGAGATTTGGAAGTTAATTAGCGAAATCAAATACCTATTCAGAGCAAAAGACCATTTGAGATTTTCGTCGATGATTTCCTCGAACCAATAGCAATCGTTGCCATTAACAGTATTGATTACCGATTCATGAGAAGAATCTCCATTGATGTAATTGTTTTTCTCTTCGAAGTTTCGATCTACTGATTTGGAGAAGCCATTGGTGTGTGAACTCAGAACTGCTGGACCCATCGCCTTACGGAGCAAGAAAGGGGGAAAATGGGAATATAATGAGAGAGTCTATGAAACAGGGAGGCGGAAGTTTTGGGCGGGATTTTTTGAGATGCTTGTGAGAATCCTTTTATAGTAGCAATTTTTTTTTTTAATTACTCGAATTTAATGGTTTTTATTTGATTAATTATTTATTTTTAATTGTCATCCTAACCCAGATACATCAATCATACGATATGCTTTAATGAAAACGTGAAGAAAATATTCTTGAAATTATCAAAAGATATTTCAATTCATGCGGTGTAGATTACAATTTAGAATAATTTAGATTTATTGTATTTCATTATTTTAAGACTTTTAATTTACTTTAGGTTACAATTACATAATGATTAATTATGCCCATTAAGTATGAATGTTACAACTCAGTAATTTTCTTTTGAGGCTATATAAAGACTTGGAAAATACAGTAAAGAAGCCTTTGTGCTTTTCTTTAACCAATGACTAAGTTTCTTTGCAATTCTACGTAGTTTAGGTTGTATATAGAATCATTCAAGCTCAAGATGATCAATCTTACTTGTGGAATGATTGATTCGAATCTCAAACAATGTTCTTGCCTTGAGATATTCGATCAACAAGGTAATCCGAATCTTACTCCCCTTGTAATGATTCCTTATCTTATCACATCCATTTTTATATTTCCACCTCGGAAATTTAATCAATCGGAAATTATCTGAAACCACTTATCAATACCTCGTCCATTTAAAACCTAATAAAACGTCTCGTCAATTAATCATAAAGTAAAGAACACGTGTCTCGAGAATACGTTCACGATCATTTGCTCGTATTCTTGTACTTCAGGTTTAACTAACTCGATTTTTATATTAACGTTTTTTTTAATTTCACCTCCCTATTTAATTTTTTAATAAGTGAACGTTATCTAATATCCGACCTCCGAAAAGGTGGAGGAATATGTTGTGTTGGTTCCACTGCTACAGATTGTGGGATGTTAGGATTGGATTGAGAAAGGCTCTTGCAAGCGTGGGGTGACTCCACTACCAAAATTTTGTTGGATACTCCACTTTTAACTACCTATTATTATAATAATAATTATTAGTATTTAAAAATCGAACCGAAAGATATTTTTGTAAGATATTAGGTTACGGGTAAGTGAGTATAGATTCAACCTTCGCTTGTTAGCTCGGGAACTAGGAACAGTGTTAAAAGGGTTAAACGAGAAGACGTTAAAAATTTGTAGCGTCTCAATCTTACCGTGTAAGCGCTTAACATTTGACAAATGTTACAAGCTCCCGACATCAAGACAGTACGTTGATTTCTTATAAAAGTATAGCTTTTTCCACGATTTCGTATTATAAGAGCATCCGAGAACGTGCATGCAGTTAGTATTGTTGGTAGCTGAAGAATTATTTAAATTGTCGGTATTAATGAATTTTTTTAAAAATTAAGGATTTTAAGGATATTATTGAATTTTTTTAAATATTTGTTTTGGAGATGGGCGGCTTCGTTTCAATCGTTTTCAAGAATTTTTTAGCATTGAAACAAACGGGATAGGATATTAAGTCAATACACTATTGTGGGCTCCAACGCACAAAGTCAAAACATTTTTAAAACGTCAATCATTTTTAAGGGATTAATTGTGTTCTTATTCCTTTATATTATTGTCGGTAACACTTTGGTGATGATGCACCTGATGTTGAGAATTATTATGAAGATTTGGTTCGTGAATCTTTCAAATTCATTAATATTTTTCGCATTCTTGTATATTTGATTCAAGCGAAAGTAGAGATGTCCACGAACCGGGAACAGGGAAGCTTTTTCAGTCCCGGCCTACAATTTCAATCCTCATTCCCAATAAGTACAGATATTGAAGTGAAAATTCAATAGGGGCAGGACAGAGATTTGGCAAAGTTGGGGACGGGATGGGAATATAATCTCTGTTCCCGGCCCTATTTAGTTCTTTTCACTAGCTACCATGTTTCTCGTTTAAGAGAGGACTCTTCATTGTGTTTGGGGCGGGTGGTCCCACAGATTATCGAGAGACATGTTTTAACTTGTTGGGTTATGCTCGGGTGGACTAATAAGAAAAGGAAAAAGAAAAGTTGAGAACGTAAGTGCACAAAACTTTGAGGTGTAAATCATTAGGCAAAGCGAGAGGGAGGGATGAGGCGTGCTTGGTGCTGTCCACTACAATTCTAAGTATGTGAGATTTCCTTTTACTTCCATTATATCCACAATTCACTTAAAGGACGCCTAAGTGGCCCAAACCCTACCAAAAAAAAATATGTCTCGAAAAGCGAGGTCCCTCGTTCGTGCTTTTCCGCTATGTTGTCGTCTTGTTCGTCTGATCCGTATTAGAGCCGTGAACATAGTCCTAATCTATTTGATATCTAGTAGGCTAGTAAATTTTAAAAAATTGAAATTTTAAGAATAGATTACCTATTGATACAAAGTTGAGAGTTTTCAGTGATCTGTTAAGCGTTTTTTTGAAGTTTAGAGGTTAAATAGTTATCGATGTTCACTTACGAGCCATTGGGCCTTTTTTTTTTCTTTCTCGTGGCTTGTTTAGTTTATATTTTCTTACAGTGTCTTGATCTCGAGTTTTGAGATTATTTGACCTTGATGTAACTTTATTAACATTCTCGAAAAAAGATTGAAAGTAAAAGTATCGTTAAAGTAGACGATATCGTATCATTTTTAAAAGAGGGATGCGATTTTTTCGAGATCAAAATTTAAAGATATGGACGAACGCACTTGGAATGGTTTGGTTCTTAGTGCTTCACTTCTCCAATTCCAAGTGCAAGTGGGTTGCTTTTTTCACGAAGAATATAGATTAAATCAAAAGAAAATTTGTATTGGAAATCATAATACACTTTTATATACACATAGGAGATTCATCAATTGAGTTATACTTAAGTTGATATAGTGCATTTTCGAGAATTTATTTTAAATGAATTGTTGTTGACTCAGTTCACTTCTCTCGTTTTCCACTAATTCTCATAGAAATGAATGAGCCTCAAATGATTGATTTCTATACTTATCGAAAAGAATCCATCGTATTTCCTAGTTATTTGGTTATCCTAATCATGGAGAATGGTCGGGAGTATTCCAGTGAGTCCTTTTTATGAAGGTTAAGTAGCAGTAGGACTTTTTATGTTTAGTGACCGGCAAAACTCTGTCGTTGATTTGACTTTTTTTTTTTTTTTTATCATTCTCCTTTTGGATGTAATTGTATGATGTTTTATTCGATGATGAATATTTATGTTATTGAGAGAATCAAATGTTTGTAGGTGCCTTTTCTTTTTAATTTTTAGCAAAAAAAAGAAAAAAGATATGATAGACATTTGTGCTATTAAGAGGATCAAATATTTTGTGTTTTTCTTTTCCAAATTTTAGCCCAAGAAAAAAGATGTGATGTATTAACACGATAAATACGCATTTATGCTATTAAGATAATCATATGTTCACATCTACTTTTTCTTTTTTTTTAATTTTATCTACTTTTTTTTTTTAATTTTAACTAATTACATTTGTGCTATTAAGAGAATCAATCGTTCATGTCTACTTTTCATTTTTAAATTTTAGCTAAAAAAAATGACATGTGCAAGGAATAAACATTTATACTATTAAGAGAATCAAACCTTCAGAAAAAAGAAAAAAAATATAATGTATTAATACGAATAAAACGTTAGTGTCTACTTTTTATTCTTTGAATTTTAGCCAAAAAAAGAAAAATAAATATGTGATTCGATAGGAATAAATAACCAAAAAAAGAAAACTATGTGATACACGGTAGGAATAAACATTTATACTATTATCGAATAAAATGTTCATGTCTCCTTTTTTTTTTCTTTTTTAAATTTTAGCAAAAGAAAAGAAAACGAACCAGAGGAAATTAATTTTGTAATTTTGTTTTTTCTCCATATTGGTGTTATATGTATGGGTTAGTTTCACATTTTAGAAATACACCTTTAAATTTGCTAACATGAACTATTTATTACAAATATTTTGAAACTGTTTAAATACTAAATAAATAATTAGTTTAATCTCAAAAAATAAACTATTCTGGGGAGAAAATTGTGCAACATAGAATCATATAAAGAAAGAATACGATACTTATTCGAATAATCTTAAAATGGGTGGTAATAGTTCAATAAATTCCATTAGACAACCATTAAATCAATAGAAGCCCAATAGACATACGCCATAAAATCCGATATGAATTATTATGTTCCAATAGATCCAAATAATTGTTTGAATCACTTTAATAGATAAAGTACAATAACTTTGTTTTAACCTAACGAAAGGTCCAAGCTCAACACAATAAAGTTCCCAATAAGTGTAGAAGCACGAGAGATCGTGTTGTTGGGAGAACTAAGATGGTCAAATACAATGTGACGTTACTTTGTGATAATCTTGAGTTACTGTAGAGGCAAAGCTAAACATTTAGATATCATATTAGATCATAAAGACTAATTTGAACTATAAAAAAAAATAAATAAATAAAAATAAAAATCAATAAACAAATTTTGCAATATACATATTTGTTTTTATGACTCGAATTCTCAACGGGTATCTCTTTTGTGCAGTAAACCCAAACATTTTAACTCAAACTTATCTACTACGTACAAACTTGTTAAAATATTTAAGTCCTAAGTCCCTCGTGGTTTATTCATAATATTGAAGAAGAGGAAAAAAAACCTCTTATATCACACGTGGTTGTTTCTTGAAGAAGGAAACCGACCCCTATACGAAACCAATATGTTAGCATTAGAAGTAATATAAAAAGAGTAAATGGAGACGATAATGAGTGAAGAAAAGCAAATAAAGGTATGTAACAACACGCAACCCACTTTGTAATACAACATATATAAATAAATGCATTGCACAAACAAGATACCAACAACCCAATAATAATCTTAGACAAAAACAACAGAGAGGGAGTTTCTTTCAGAATTTGGGACACCCCTTATCTATTACTCAGCCTTCCACTACTACTACTTTCAGTAGTGCGAGGCCAACGTTTTCGACAGCCAAACTAAATGTCAAATGCCACAGAAAGTATTCAGATCAGAATTCTAATCTTTACTAACAAAACTGCATATTCCCATGATGAAGAACCAAGGTGTGGAGTTAAAGGTCCATTGAACATTTACAAATGGTCATTAACATTCACACTATTTGGATTCATGTTCATGGGAAAAGCACTACGGTTCTTTTCCATAATATCATGCTTCAAAAGAAGTTCCATGATTAATTTCAAACATTCCTTGGCATTCCATTTCGACTTGTGCACCTCTTCCTCTAGAAAGGTTAAATTCATAAAAATACTATCAAACTTTATACTTTGTCTCAAAAATACTCCAAACTTTCGAGAAAAAGTCTTAATAATACCTTTGAACTTTAAAAAAAGGTTAACCTTACCGATAGTTTTGGAGGAAAACCGTTAATACTTTGTTTCAAAAATACCCTTGAACTTTCAAAAGGGTTTCAAAATAAGTTTTCAAAAGTTTCATTATACTCTTAAACCTTTTTAAAAGGTTAAAATATACTTCTATCGTTAGTATTTTTTAAACATAGTACTAACGACAAGTATATTGTTGAACTTTTTTTTAAAAAAGTACGTATTAATGAATGTTTAAAACACCATTAAAAGTTCATGAGTATTTTTGAAACAAAATACCAACCGTTTCCATCCAAGAGTAACGATATTTAGGTGCATTATTGAAATTTTTAAAAGATGAGGAGTATTTTTAAGACAAATTACCCAAAAAAAAAAAAAAAAAAAAAAAAGCCCAATTATCCTCCAAGGGCACCGCTAGGTATCTCATTGGCCTAATACACAGTGGTTCTCAAACTCATTTATAACTCAAACCAAAGCCTATTTCTCCCATGAAAAGAAGAAGGATTCTACTCATTAACCAGATGACAAGATTCTGGGAATACATACCATTTTACATAAAACAATAGACCGCAAAGGATCTATGGCCCAAAGCCAACAAAAAAATGTTAAAATTATCTAAGCAATCTCATCAACAGTGACACCACTCTTCTTTGTTAATAAAAGACCAACTTTCATTAAGAGAAAATATATATATATATATATATATATATATATATATATATATATATATATATATACAAAAAAACAAAGCCCACAAAAGGAAGCAATCTTAAAGAAAGGGACTCCAATTAAGTACAAATAATTATGAAAGAAAATTGTGATCAATAAGTATAATGCAAGAATGGGCATATCTACTAATTACGAATAGTATAGTGATTCATATAGTACTAGAACAGCAGCCTCAGCACTAATGTTGGTGAATATTCCAAACTCCAAGCACATTAAAAGAAGCACAAGAAGCCTGACAAACTCCAAATGGCATTCATGTGAGCATTTTACTAATACATAACTCCCCGAGGCCCACCAAGCAAGGCGAAGGGGAGACATATATGCTCATATGTGAAGTCAGTCATAGAATTGTAGCATTACTTGGAATGCAACTTGAATTTACGAATTAAGGATAAAATTCACTGTAAGATTCATCAATCATTGTTAACTAATAAAAAAAAGAAGAACAGAAAATCACTGATGAACTATTGTATCTACTCAATTGGGAATTTGAAATGTATTGCCTAATTCCATTATCTATGGAGTACCTTTTGATTTTCTATAGTGGTTTTTTACGAAACGTATCATCCCCTCACACTTTTAGATTTTAAAAAGCGAAAAGCGTTAGGGAGAGGTTTTCACGAACTGAATGCTTCGTTCCCCTCTCCAAATGAAGTGAGATCTCACAATCCACCCCCTTGTGGGCCAACGTCCTCACTGGCACACCACCCGATGCCTATCTTTCATACCATTTGTAACAGCTTAAGCATGCTGGTAGATATTGTCCGCTATGCCCGTTACTTATTATCGTCAATCTAACGATTTTAAAACGCGTCTATTAGAGAGAGGTTTCCATACCTTTACCATGAATACTGATGTGGATCTTACAGACCCGAGAGAACTTGTTGCAGAGTGACCCTTGACCTTCTACTTTCTAGACCTTTAGGGGACTTGCCCTAACGGTTTATCAGATAGGTCATCTCCACGTCCTTTACTCCTTTCAGCCCTGAAAAACCATGGGTGAAACACAAAATCCTACTTAAATCACAATCTCGGAGGTCTAAATCATATAGCACTTTTGCAAATGAAACGACATCAGTAAAGTATAGATGCTCTGTTAACTAACTTTGAAAGTCCAGAATCCAAAAGAATTACCATTTGAACTCACTTTGAGACAGCTAAGTCCGACGGAGCGCAAAGATTCAACCGCAGCAACACAAATATACCGATCCCGTGACCAGCTCGTTCGACGGCGACCGAAACCTCCACCACCACCACCACCACTGCCGAGGGAACCCCATCGGCTACCGAAAGCGATCTAGCACTCGCGACGATCGCGCAATGCTTGATTAGTGTAGAAACATTAGAATGTAGAACCCCGATGTCGAAATTACGCAAAAATGTGCAGATATAAATCTGTCTAAGCCACACCGCGCTGCCAGAGAAACAACCAGAACAGCAAAGAAGTAGAAAACAATGGAATCGGCGGCTTCAAGATTGCTGCGGATTAAATACGTAAAACCCTAGAATATGATCGTGACCAAATTATAAAAGATCTGTAACCGTGGATTAACGAAGTAATTCTTTGATCCTATTTTTATCCTCAACGTGCGTTCTCCTTATTTATTTATTTATTTCAAACTTTAAAAAGTAATTAGTATATTTTTTATTCAATCAATTTTTAAAATTTAAAATTCATAATAAAATTTGTAATTTGAACAACACTCCTTGGACTAAAAAAAGGACAAAAATGAATTCATATACGAATATATTTGTCATTTAAAGTTCTAAACTTTTATAACATAGGGTTAGGATTGCCTGTCAAAATCTTAATACATCATTTTTTACGATGTATAATACATTTTTTAAATATACGAATTAAAGCAATATTAGAAAATGTTAATCAAATAATATTATTTAAATGGTCTTACGCTTGAACATGTATCACAATTAAGAAGCATCCCTAAAGAACAAAATGTTGTAAATTATCATTGATTTTTTTTTTTTAATTTAGTCATTAACTCTCATAAAAATATTATTAATTTCGTTATTAAATTTGTAACCATTTTAATATTAATCTTATTTAATTTCACAACGTTTGATGATCCAAACAATTGTCCGTATATAATGGACTTATCTAGAGGTTGATGATATCGAAATTTGGGAGAGTTTGGTGACAAATTCCATAACTTTGATGATCCAAACAATTGCCCGTATATAATGGGCTTATCTAGAGGTTGATGATATTGGAATTTGGGAGAGTTTTGTATGTCACGTTGTATTTTTTGTGTGACATATTGGTGTATGATGGTGAGTTATTCACTTGTAACACTTTGTTTATTAGTGTTTGGTTGCTATTCTGGGAACTTATTCTCTTTGAACCACGTAAATATCTTGGTGTTCATTGGTGCTGTGAGTACATTTGTTCCGGTTTCGGCGCCCAACACAAAAAAGCCATAACTTGCTAGATTAACTCTATTAAAATACAAAATTTTTAATTGTTAAAATTTATGAGTCTCAAAAAGGCTTATTCAAGATGCTCAAATTCTTGAATTTAAGGATATTTAATCTTTCAATTGTTTTTTTGTTTTTATTTAATTTAGCCGAAATTGAAATGGATTAAATAGAACAAAATCAGGGGAGACAAATAGTGTGAAAATTCTACAAAATATAAAATTTACATGCAATTTTTAAAAAAAATATTTCTTATCTGCACATCACATGCCTTGAACATTGGAGATGGAAGAAAGTGAACTCACCAAATGACTCAACTAAAAGATTTACAGTACAAAATCAAGAGAAGTGGCACAAAATAGTAATCCCATCAACCGCACTTTACAACAGAGAGGTTTTTAAGCATGAAAGTGTCACAGTTTCAAATGAATTGAGCTGAATGAACTGATACAAACCTGAATTCGAGGGCTATCGAGCGCTATCAGCCTTATTTTCCCCACTTCCCTGAAGCCTTCTGATCCATTTCTTTTGGGATGAGGTAAGATCAAATGAGCCTTTTGAAGGAGTAGCATTTGCGAGAGACGAATTTGGGACTGGAAGTTCGGCAGGAAGAGCAGCGGCGGTGCTGGTAAAGGCGTTTAAGACCAGGAATGCCAATATTGGAGACAAATCAAGTGTCCCCCCAAGAGGTGGGATAATCCCACGAAATATGTTCAAATATGGGTCACATAGCGTGCTGAAAGAGAATCAAACCATGACAATTAGCACCAAATTTTACATTACAACTGTTTTTATGTACACAAACTAACAAAGGGCAGTCGCGGAGCAATACCCATGAACACAAAGATTGTTGTCAGTGTCGGATCAATGAGGTTGAGGTTATTTGAAATGACTTTCTAACCGTTCACTTAAAAATTCGTTCTAAACCAGCACTAAATACTTAAAATTTCGACAAAAGATGCTTTCCGAACCTTAGAAAAAGTGGTTCTAAAGTTCTTAACAACTAATTATTGTTCTTCTAATATATAAGAAAGAATTTTTCTTCAGCTTTTTTATCCATAATATTTGATTGACAGAAGAGTTTTTAAGATATGTTTCTTAAGCATAAGATGACATATGACTGAATCAGTAGTTTTGTATATGTGAATTTGAATATGAGTTGGATCAGTAGAACTAACAATTTAAACAACATACAGTTTCAACTTTCAACTTTCAACTTCTATGTTCAGCTCAGAAATTTCATTCCAGGTTCACAGTCAATCATTGTGAAAGCGTCTATCTTCTATCGTCTTTTTTTTTTTTATAGGAATGTCAAAAACAAGGAAGAGTTACCTTAGTGGACTAACAATGGCGGGAGGTGTGTTCGGAAACCAAGTCAAAACTAGCCTGACGACCAACAGTGTGTTGTAGATGCTCAAGAAATTCTGAATACCATTCGTGACCAAAAGTCCTGCCACCGAATCCCCAGGCAAAACTGCCGCAAAGTTGTGACTGGAGAGAGCTCGGAAATTCCTGGAGTTCAAACCATGGATCTGAAATAGAATTCAACAGAAGTACCGAATTAGAAAAATCGAAACCCCCAGGAAAAATTAACCGTAAGCAGCAGGTCGTATTCTAGCTGAAAATCAAACTGTACAAACGGATGGAAGTGCAAGAGAAGGTAGCATTACAAGCACGAATCCAAATTTCGCGAGACCGTCAAAATACAGTTGGTAGCATGAAATTTGCAGTTATTTACCTGGTGATGAAAACTCTGTAACTCAGAAGACAACGACATCAATTTATTGAGAAACGGATTCTCGGAAGCTAAAGAGTGAAAAAACACGATGCACTTTTCAGCAGTTAACGCGAAAGACTCATGGAGATCGCGAAGAAATTTACATGGTGGAACAAAATCGACGTGCCTTCTCCTGGACGCTCCAAAAGGTGTTTGAGAAAATGCCGGTGAGAACGACGATATGCAATTTGGAAAGAAGCTAAAAGCCGTGGAACTTCGTCTAGGGTTTAGAACCGACGACTCGTCTGGAGTCATCTTGCTTTGCTCGTCTCTGAGAGAGCTAGCCGAGGAAGAAGAGGATAAAAGGATTGAAGAGAGATGCAGAAGCGAACACCAGAGCTCTCTCCTTCTCTCTCTATCTCTCACAAGTTGGGCCGTGATTTCGAAGCTACGGCCCATTCTTATCCATTCGACCCGGCCCAAAGAAGAATGATGGCCCAACATATGAGCCCAGTATAAGTTCATTTACTCGGCCCGGTCCAAGTAAGGCATGGCTTATGTCGGAAAAAGAAAAAATTATACACTAAGGCTAATTTACTCCACATCAGTTACACATCAGTTACAGAAGGGAGTGAATGACAACTAGGAGAGCGAAACATTTTTTTACAAGGGTGTGGAAACCTCCCCTAGCATACTCGTTTTTAAAACCTTAAGGGAAAATCTGAAAAATAAAGCTTAAAGAGGACAATATCTAGTAGCGTAGACTTGAGCTGTCACATACCCATTAATTTGAATGCTGAGCTTATGTAGCAAATGACGATCGAGGCTCTAGGAGAATGTTGTTGACCCCTGATTTTAGTATAAGAACTCTTTGATTTACCTGAAGAGTTATGCAGTTTGCGAATGAAAAAAACTGTGCTCGTGTTGCAGAGTTGTACATCATCACCACTTTTATACCTCGTTTTCATCAGTAGCAGCTATTAACTGTAAGGAATTACCATTGTTAAATAACTACGTTATGTTTGCAACTTGTAATCTTGTCATCGTCACAATTCAAGACGTCACGTTCATAAGTCAAAGATATTAATTATATTATATCGAAGACGTTTTGGCTTTGGGCCTAAAACCGAAAGGCTTAAACACTAAACCCTAAATTTGTATGCCCACAATAATTGGGCGAGACATGGTTGAGAATGAGACAGATTCTTTAACGGGTGGTAGGTTGAAAAAGTACAAATAGAATTATTTCAGAAATTCAAAAATTCAAAAATTCAAAAATTCAAAATCTACTTTACATAAAAATCAGTTTGGCGGGGAAGACGCTCCCTGGTGGCGCGTGGTGGAATTCAACTGAGTCGTTTTGAAGTAATTAAAGAAAGTAAATCTTTTCAACGTAAAAATAGTGGGAGAAATGGAGGATAAAGCGAGCCGTTAAGTGAAACGGCGGTTAAAAATAAAATAAAAAAAGAAAAGAAAAAAAAAGGGGGGGTGACGTGTCGGTAACGCTATAAATATCTTGCTCAGTTTAACATTTCAATTTTTTCTGGGGTTTCTTTTTTGAGAGACTCAAGTCTACACACCTGTTAGAGCGGGAACCCAAACAATGCCTCTGCAACTTCGTTTTCTCTCTGCCTGTCTCGCTATCTTCTTCTCTTTTCTCTGTTCTTAGGGTTTCAATTTCAAATTTGATTTCTACCAAACCTTTTGATTTTGCATTCTTTCTGCTCACGTTTCCACTTTAGCAACCGGAAAAATGAGCCTACGCAAGGGCTCTAAGGTTTGGGTGGAAGACAGGGATTCTGCTTGGGTGGCTGGTGAAGTCATCGAGTTCGGCGGTAAACAAGCTCGAGTTGCAACTATTACTGGAAAGAAGGTGATTTCCTTCCACATCCTTTTATTGTGCGACTTTTCAGGTTTTTGAAGCGGTAGGAAATGATGTTCTTATTGTATTCTTTTTGTTTTGTTAACTGTAGGTCTTGGCTCTTCCTGAGAAGCTTTTGCCGAGGGATGCGGATGAGGACGAGCATGGAGGGGTGGATGATATGACGAAGTTGACCTATTTGAATGAGCCTGGGGTGCTTTATAATCTTCGAAGAAGATATTCTCTCAATGACATATATGTAAGATGTTGTTAAGCAGTACTTTGATAGGTAGATTAATCAGTTGTTAGTATGAGTTTTGTCTTTAGGATATTAATTATGGTTAAATGTATAGTTAGCTATAATTTATTCACGATAAGTTAACTTGCTAGTTCTTTTATCACAAGGAGTAATAGTCACATAAGAGATTGGGTTTGAAGGTTCTTTGAGTATTTTCTTCTCAGTAGTCCCCTGTCTGGCATGTGAGTGTGATTTCTGTTTTGATTTAATGACTTAAGACCACAGAGTTAGCATCTCTTCCATCCG